CAAACTTGTCGCTTAAGATCATTGTTTCCGGATATCTAAAGCTTTACTTTGAATCGAAGAAAATGCTTTTCCGTCCTAGAGAGCGTTCAAGAGATACTTCAACAGAATTTGGAATATACCCGCCGTGATCCACAGTATCAGTAAATGACAATCGCAAGTTTGTATTTTGAGCCTGACAGCTATATTTTTCGTTATAAACGGCCTACTCTGGCAAACACTCGGAGAGCAGCCAGCGGAGAGCACGTGACATCCGGCGCCATCGTGACGTAGATTGTCTCGGGACAAGCAAAGCTGCGGCGAGGGTGTCGTGGACAAGACATCCTAGCCGTTCCAGCCTCCGAAGCGATCGATGCACGCCAGCGATTGGGCCACCACGACTAACTGTAAAGCTGCTTTTGTACGAATGTTGAGCGACGCGTGTAAATCTAGAGGGGAGTTTTTCCTTCCCCTCTACTCTTGTGGTGGCCGGAGAGCTGGCGGGGTGAAGATCATCACTATCTATCAAGGTGCCGATACGGGCATTACAAATGAGGCTTTAGCGACATCCACCAGGTGCCCTCTGCTGAACGTCTCATTCGTTTCAAAATTCCTGTTCTTGTCTTTTTTCAACAAGGGATTCGTGTGTTCAATGTGGTACTGCTCCCTTGAACACTCATAGGCCAAGAAATGGCTCCTGAATTTTGTTGTAGTATCCCTTTAAAGCGGTACTCCGACCATTTTTTTAGTTGTCCAGAAAAGTTTTATTTTCTGAATACCCGAACTCTAGTCTTCATTGTTTGTGATTTATTGTCTCGAAATTCAAAATAGCAAGTGAGAAAATTGAAAATAAGCATGATGTCAAAACCAACATTTAAATTTCTGCGCGCTCTCTACTGGTGTGATGTCACAAATGGTACGCAGGTTGTCTTAAACTGAGTATGTCGGGATTCTCAGTGAATGAGCTTCCAAGCAATCTTTTGGTATCATCAAACGTCTTGTATTCAGTTGGGAACGTGGTTTTGCTGTCCACTTTCTACCATTTCTGTCGTAACACTTCAGTGTTGACAGTCCCTACTGTCTTTTAAGAAACCCGGTGAGAATGAAATTCGAAAATTTAATAACTTCATAAAACTTTTCCTTTTATACACAATACTTGGGTAATTGGTACAGCCTTGTCTATCAGTATGTTGAGCCAATTTTGAGGCAAATCAGCGACCATAAAAAAATGAAAGACGTTTACAATTCCGTGTAATGCCGAATTAAAGCGCAGTTCTTGAGGAGGAGGAGGAGGGGAGGGTACGGAGAGGAGGGCATCCTCTCCTCCTCCTCCCTCTTCTTCTCCTCCACCTCATTCTCTCCCTCCTTCCTCCTCTTCCTCCCCTCCTCCTCTCCTTTTCCTCCCTTTCTCCTCCTCTTCCCCCTTCCTCCCTTTTCCATTGTGACGTCACTCGTGACCCTCCTGACGTCACTCGTGACCTTCTTTGAGGCCTTCACGAGTGACCTTCGTGACGTCACGGTGACGTCACGAAAGTCACTCGTGAAGGCCTCAACGAAGGTCACTGTGAGGGTCGTGACCTTCCTCATGACCTTCACGAGTGACCTTCGTGACGTCACTCATGACCCTAGTGACCCCCATGACGTCACTCGCCACCCTCGGGACGTTACACGTGACATCAAGAGTGACGTCATTATAGGAAACATCACATAATCAAACGCGCGGTTACACCGACGGCCATGCCGCTCAAGCCGGAAACGGGCGCCTAAGAGGTGCGCTCTAAAAAGCAAAACGATATTGCTTGAGCTTCTTGACACAATATTTAGGGGCGTTTTTTAATTGTAACTATCACCAAATGAGCCCTCCCGACGCCGACGCCGACGCCGCTCAAGCCGGAAACGGGCGCCTAAGAGCTGCGCTCTAAAAATATATTTAAAAAGACAACCGCCGTATAGCTATACAGCCCCTAGCCTGTTTTCTTCCTCAGTAAGCTGCAAAAGATAGTAACCACGTGGGCAGTGGGCCAGGGACCAGGTGCCAACTTGTGACGTTTTAATAACCTTGGACATCTTTAGGCATCTTGATGGCGCTGTTCGGTGCCTTGTATCATTATTACCTAATTCTTGCATTCTGTGGAGTCACCTTTTTCTGGGGGATGGTAGGGAAACAGAAGACAATTTCGATCGTGTTTTTGCTTGGTGTATTTTATAGGTCTGAGCAATAATTGGAACACTAAAATACGCCTTAATTTTTTTACAAGTCTTTTTATTGGTGTTTATATTATTGATGTAAACACAATTTTGAATGCAAAAGTGTAAAAAAGGTCATTTGTCTTTATTTTAATGCTTGTAGTGTGATCTTAAAACAATCCCTAGACTGTGACAACATTTCCGTGCAATTGCTCTATGTAGTTCATTGCCAGTGGGGAGCGTCAACTAGAACGTGTATTCAGCATCAGCGTTATTCAGGTTATTTGAAAAAAAAAAGATGGCGACGACGTATTTTCAAAATCGACCATTGCGCCGACATATTTATTGGCGCAGAAAGGATAAAACACCTCCATGAGAAAGAGTAAACGTGGGTTCTAATGAGGGTCTATACGATAGGTTGGCGACCGCTCAATCCTTCATTTTCAGCTTCTTGAGCTTGTGACCCAGCGCTTTCTTTTTTCATTCCTGAATAATAATAATGATACCTCACTAAAAAGACATTTAAGAAGCTACTTAATCACCTAAACGCGGCAATCGTCACTTAGATATGTTTTCTTCTGATTCTTAATATCAAAGGATTTTCTCTTGACTTCGGTTATAAGTGTTTGTTGAAGCGAAATAAACTGTGGTAGAGCTCCTCTCATGCCATCGTGCAGATTCCGTCGAAAAAGAACACACACGACACCAGCTATATGGCTTTGTTTAAACATAATTTATTGTCTCCGTATGTACACACTGGTATAAAAAAATAACGCGAGTCTATTGGTTACATAACAGCAGAGCCCGAATGCCCAAGAGAGATGAACCCCATAACATTAACCCTATACATGTGCGGCCAAAACATCCAAATAACAAACTTCGCACTCTCTCTTTGGAAATTTGGAACATGACCTTTCTTACCGAACAAATTATCTTTCAATGTATACACGTGATCGCTACAACAGCACGCCTAAAATAAAGTACGTGTAATCTCACCCAATCTTAGAAATTCATCATTATAGATGATTAGCTTGTGATGTTTTGTACGGATCACTTTAAGTTTTCACCAGAAACGAAAAATATTCCCAAAGAAAAAATATTCAAAATTTACAACTACAACAAATCGACGTGAACGCCCGACCCTGAGATATAAAATGGCCATAGCAGTGAAGCCATCCTGTAAAGCTGCAGCAGTAATATCCAGAAACGTTTGCGGAATTATAAAGTCCGTAAATTGTACTTAATGGTCTCACAAAAATTGATGCGATGTCCCCGGGATTATCACTAACTCAAAATCCTTAAATTTAGACAATTTCACCGTGTATTAGTGTGTGTGTTTTTCTTTTATTCGTTTATTCAAATAGCAAAAAAAAACTTGAATTACGCTTAAGCCTTGCCTTTAAGAAGAGAGCGCGGTTGCGTTACCGGACCCCGCTCGCATGGCCCTCTCATACCCTGCACAATCATGCCTTGCGGGGCGTAGTCATTAGCGTGTCTGGCTCTCAACCGGAGGGTCTTGGGATCGGATCCTGCCCAAAATTCTTCGAATTTGTTCTTTAAGAGAAATAAATTAACTTATAAAGTAAAATCATTTGAAACATGCGGCAACCTTTAATTCGCATTACATCGCATGTTTTAATCACTTTCATTCCAAGCCTGAAAACATGGTTCTCGTGAGCGATTTTTTGAATTCCCGTTTGAGGTCATGTGGCTTTAACGTCATGACCCTACCGACCAATCAGGATTTTCCCATCAAGCCACCGACATCGGCTCCTCTGCGACACAAGCTCCTTAACGCTCTTTCGTTAAAATACCAAGGCGCTAGATGTACTGATCAAGGGTGCCTGCACCTTCTCATTATTGTTTTATTGTGTCAAATTTTTGTGCTAAAATGTCTAATTCCGGGCAGTGTCGAAACTTTTGGATACCAGCCGGTTAAGCAAATATCTAGTTGACAGATTTCCTGGGAAAGCTGCTTTGTGCTCAATATGTCTTCTGTTTCAAAAACACCAGTCGACAACATTTGTGCTCCAGCATAGAGTGCGAAAGAGTGCTTTCAATACTCCTGCACAGGAATCTCAAGTCTTCATTCCTAAGGCCTTTTCAAATCGTCAAATCTGCTCGCGATGCCTGACTCTGCATGTGCGCCCTGGCATGTGAAAGTTTGCTGATTTTAGAAAGGACTTTGGAATAAAGGGATTTGCAGCGCCCACGAAGCAGAAATTATAAGCCTGTTTGCTTTCGTTCTCCGTCTTAAATGTAAGTAGTCATAGTATCACGAAATACTCAAGGTGCAGTTCAAAACTTGGTGGCTATTGTTGAAATGTTAAAACCCTTCTCGTGCTATGACCGACGGCATGTTTTGATTCTCGACATCATTTTTTTTTCATATTTACAAATAAATTGCTATCTTACCAGACCTCTTGCATTCTCGCATGCAGCGTCCGAAAATAAAAACATACCTGACTTTTGGTTTTCTAACTAGACCATCTGCCTGCGGCATTTCTCAAGCGTCGTACACACAGAACATTCATTCATACATATACTCGCACAGGCATCATTGAACGTTTCTGTTTGCGCCAGTTCAAATACAAAAATGGCGCTTTTTCTTTCTTTTTTTTTAAGATCGAACATAGCGATATTATTTATTCCTTTCACTTTTTCTTTGACTTCCCCACGGGCTGCTCATTTAGCTTTGAGATGTTTTAGTCGCCAGCCAGTCCACCACCGAGTAGCTGTCCGTTTCAGCACCAACAACGGCCAAAATGAACATAGTTTTTTCATTGGATTTCTTTCCGTTTGATGGAACATGGCTTTCGCAGCCGAAGTGACGCGCACTACGTGTTGCGGCTGCAGGCCGCGACGTAACTTCCGTTGCCGACGTTCGTGATGTTCCCGTTGGCGGTTCTCGCCGACGGCAGCGAATGAAAGTTGCTGACGGACACAGGGCCGCTGTTGGCGCACGTCGCTTGAACTTCTTGCTTGTTTCTTTGTTCTGAAACAGAAATTCAATAACAAGTTTAAAACTCGAGAAGGCAGGCACATCGACGTTGTGCGCAACAAGTATCAGTTGGACGCAACGGGTTCTAATATTGAAAGGACCTCCTATATTTGCGTTAATGGCTTGTGATTTTGTGAACGTTAACGCCTATCCAGTTTAACCAAGAGGAACTACCTGTTTCATTGAGCTTTGCAATAATATATCAGTAACTACCAAAGTAGTTTACCGAGATGACAACGTACAAAAATATGACAAACGCAATGTCATCTCTTCTGTAGAACCTTAGCTAGACTTTGAGAATATTACTGGTTGTTCCCACAATGGGCTCTATTAACAAGTGCTACTAAAGTAGTTGACGAGGATGACAAGATATATTAAGGTTTATATCTTGAATTTTATCTGTTCTGTTCAAGCTTTAGTAGACTTAAGGAATAATAATAATATCACTAAAGTGCATCGCCAAGATATATACGGGTCTATGAGCAGGCTTATGCAGAATGCTGAATGTTCACACTAAAATGCCACTTCTTGTTTTGCCAAGTTATGGCCTCTTTCTATCAATAAGTTAGAAGAAAATTGATTGACTGCCTCAAATGCTCAAATGCCTGTTGATAGAGTCAAATGAAGCTTCCAAAGAGTAATGACGACATCTATTCTTTCAATCGCCGTACCTTTTTCCACAGAACATCGAGCATATATGCAGAGCTTCTGCGTCGCGAAAATGCGTTACCATAAGCCATGATCTAACAGATGGACCCTGAAAATTATTTAGTGGTTGGCACTGTTAAGCGACAACATATTCCTCCCTGCCAGTGAAAAGGATTTAAACTTACCTTCTTTATTTTGTTTCCGCCTCCTTGACTTGATGAAAAGATAAATAAATATGGCCAGGAGTATCAGCACGAAGAGAAGACAAATCAGCATTGTGATCAGAGCTTCGTTTGAAAGAAGCAGCCCTGACCCTGTAAAAATAAAGTTGAGGAGGTGTCGTGAACATTAGAATCATCAAAAATACCAACAGCACATCTCTAAGCGAGCAACAATCGTAATCATAGAAATTGAAGTCATTATTGGTCGGGAACGTAAAAAATGACGACTATAAAGCGAAGACTTAAAATGAAGCCCCTCCTGGCCCGTCGCATTCCTGCCGCAACAACAAAATATTTATTTGAGAAGAATGGATAGTTTCTTGGAATGTCTTGCACGCGGTCAGACTTTCTGTTGTACAGAACAGAAATTTCCAAGAGCTGTGATAGGTAAATTTGTATCTAAACTACTTCGCGTATGATGTAAACAGTTCCCCAATTTTTTTTATTTAAAATCAACTTACTGCTTGCCATTTGCGGCTTGAAACAGTTGTTCGGAACGAAGGCGACGACAACGTTATTATTCCGCATTTCCGCCCTTCAGACAAAAGGGTTATGCAAATTCTCAAAAGTTCAGTCGTGTTCTCATTAGAATGTCGGACCATCAAAACTGCAAATACTTGATGAGGCACACGTTGAACATGTTCGATGCCATATTTCATTCCCAAAAGTCTATCGTCGGTAATCAATAACATGTCAAAATTAATAGTGTTTTTATCCACCGAGTTCATTAAGAACGATCGATGCCGTCATAGGTTTGTCCACTTTTCTCTGAGACTCAGACACCAGGTTCACGTTGAGTAGAAAAATAAGTTCCGCTCCCGAATTCGCAAATCATTATTCATATTTACATTGTTCTTCTAGTATATTTTTCGCTCTATAATGATGACTCTCATTTATTATGACTGACTGGTACTGTTAAACAAGTAACTTAGACCATACGTTTTAGGTGAAGCCAGAAAATTGCACGCTTCATTATAAGAGCACCGACAGAATCTACAAGTGTGGAAATTTGAGAAACGGTATCAGGTCTGCCCTACAATGTTATGAAGGTTATAATGAACGTATCTTGACCACTATTAAAGTTCATTTTACGATTCTTGAAACGAGGCCAGATAACAATAAGAATTGTTAACGAGACAAAAATTACCTTTAAGAAGTATTACTGTTCCGCATACGTTTTTCCTTTCAGTAATGAGTTCACCATTTCCGCACTTTTTAATTAAGCAATTTTATGTCCCTTAGTTGTTCGGGAAAACGTTTAAGCTTTTACAGCATATTTAAATTACATAACTCGAAAAATAATTTTTACGGCGTTGCCCTATTAAGCTAACTACGTGTTTCAGTATGAAAGTAGAATATTTATCAGACAAATATTATCAAATAACCTTTACCCGAAACTTGCAGTTTCAAAACCATATCTTCAAGATAATGTCCAATCTTTTACATGAGGACAACATTGCTTCAATTACCTACGCGTCATTACAGAAGCGTGCATAGTTAGTATGAGCTATTCCCAACTTGATCATAAGTTCACCTTTCTTGCATATTTTACTCTGAAAGAAACATGAAGGACCCGATGGGCTGATCTATCTTCAAGTAATGCCAACAAAACTAAGCATGAAAAGGAATGAAGATGAAGCAAATCAATGGTTTTATATGTAAAGGGGAAACTACACCACAGGCAAAACTTGGCGCCGCTCACTACTTTCTGAGAGAAAGAGAGAAAGAGAAGGAAATGAAATAAAGGTTGTGGAGAGGTTGACAGGCCTCTACCTTTCTAAATTATCACCTTTTAACTATAATTAAGTTTTCGTGAAGGTCTCCCAAAGACAACAAACAGTTATCATTCAGTGGCACATTCTTGCACTATTAGTGCTTTAAGTACTCTTTCCTGATAAGAACAATCGTGGAGTAATTCAGCCTTGACGCCTACCTTTTTTGTTAGAATTAATAACGCAGAGAAGTGCGAAACTGTACTCCTTTATTTGTATTCAAAGGTTTGATATCTCTAGATGGTGTTCCTGTGAGGACTTCGAGGACGCTTATGTTTAACCGGGAAGTCCCTCCAATTGTTTTTTATTTTTTTTATTTCTGGTGATTTGTTAACAGTTCTGTTTTTTTTTTAATTATTATTCTCTTTTATTTCCCGTTTCAAAATGAGTGTCTCTAAGACATCCAAGGGCTACAAGTATTGGAAGTGCATTATTAAAGAATACGCCTTCACCTTCCTGCACTCAAGATAAGCATATTCAACACGCGACTACCGCCAATCAGATTCTCCTCAAAAAATCTGTTCGATGTAGACTGTCGTACCTGCAGGAACTACCATGAAGACGCAGGGATGTTTCTGGTCTCCAACCTGGTTTCTGGCCCAGCAGAGGACGGTGCCGTAGTCTTCGGGGGTCCTGGCCACGTAGCGGGCAACGCTGCGGGTACCTTCCCAGCTGTACGTGTCCAGCCGAGCGCTCTGGCCTGAGTTGTTGAACCGCCATCGAAACGTGACGGCCGGCGGCTGTGCCAGCACCTCGCACGAGATATGTAGAGTCTTGCCGAGCTTGGTTGAATATACCAAGCGTTGGCTTGCTTTGCACACAGGGGCGTCTGTAACAAATGGACAATTCGATAACTGGTCTATCGTTCGCTCAGAAATGCGTGCGCCGATTATCATCTCAAGTATGTTATAGTTCTTAAGTTGGCCGACACTAACGTTAGAGCACAATATTTACGATCATTGAGTGCTTAAAGACCGACGTCCAGTTCGCGCTTTCTACTTTTCCCTCCCTTCCTCCTCTCCGCACTTCTACCCTATCCACGGTTACCTGTTTCCTTCTCCCCCGTGGTGAGGAGGGTTTTCTGCCTTGCAGCATCTCAAGTCTGATCGACGGCCTTTAAGAACTACCCTATATGTAACTAATATTTAAAGCGTTCATCGCCTCACCATTGACTCTTCATTATAACTAACGGGTGACGCTGCAGAATGATAAGCTGCAAAGTAATGGTGGTAGTTCTCATAATAATAATAATAATACGGGTAATTTCTTGACATAGGAGAACCGCGATTCCTCCGAAAGACTCTTGGTTCATACCAAAAATGCAAAGGTATGCAACGTTTCGATAGTTTGATGGATTTGTACAGCTGACTGTGTGTTGCTATTATGACGAGAACGTAACTTCTGAATGAGGGTGGTTTCAATTTGTGGTTGGCTTCAGCGGGTCGGTATCCTTCTGGGGTGCCGTAATAAACAGTGTATCAATCAATAAACCAATAAATCATGTGTTTTATTGTTCCCCCAAACATCTTGTACATTCTTAGAAATAGGGGGTGTATAGAGGTACACCCCTTGTCCTATATTCAACACCCCAAAATTACATTTAGACGGTCAGTTAACTGACGTCGAGCTGGCAATACCAACTTTTGCGAGCGGCTTGATAGCTGTGGGAAATAGCGTACTAAAAAGCTAATGTGACTATCAAAGACTAGAAGAAAAAAAAAACACTGACGGTTTGCAGCAGTGCAAAAAAACCTTGATTGTTTTTTTTTGTTTTTTTTTTTTGTAGTACATTAGCTATTTTAATAAGTTGCATCGGTCGACTATCAAGCCTTTCTTGAAAGTTGGTATCGTCGGTTTGAAGTCGGTTGACTCAACGTCGAATTGCTTAGGGGTTTCACATATGGGACAAAGGGCGTACCCCTATACCCCCCCCCCTTTCTAATAGTGTATGCCTTATGAGGGGTACAAGTACACGAGTCGAAAATCAATACAACTAGAAAAAAACACGTAAGTAGAACACTTTTATTAACTTTTCAAAATGTGTAAAAAACATTTATGTCCTAGTTATTAAACGTGTAAACGGTGCTTCATGATTTGTTCACGTTGGTTATGGCTACACAGGTTTTGCAATCGACAACACAAATATCTGGTCGAAATCGTGCTCTGAAAGAGCTTTAGGTGTGCATATCAAAAACAATATTACGATCAGTTTTGCATTGCAAACGTAGTAGTGTTTACAACTTAAATACAAAGTGGGTCACCAATCCCAAGTTGTGTTTAAGAATAAGGACACTCGCGAGATCATTAAAGCACGCGATATTGTGAAACTCTTCGATTTTACTTACGATAAAGAGCGGCAATTCTGGGATCGACGAGTGCACCCTAGCGACTGTGGTGTAATGAACACGTGATATGCATGTTTTGCGTTTTATCTATGGTTTACTTGGGTGGCATGTATGCTATTTATAATAAATTTCAACATGGATAAACATCAGTTGAGTCAGCGCTGTGTTCTGTCGGTTGTTTTTTAATTTGACCTCGCCTTCTCTCTGTTTCTTTTTTTTTTATTTCTGTATATCAACTAACCAAAACTTCAACTTTAATATCTATAGTTGAAAGTTACTGACAAGAATGCCTTACTCTTTTATCAGCCGATACAAGAACGTGTAAAATTAATAGCTACAAGGTAGATCATATGAAATACTAAAGATGCGCTTTTCAGACCGCGAATGAAAATGGTCACTAAAAGCGTAAGGAAAGTAGGGCGTCGTTAGTAGGTATGATCATTATTCAACCTTGCAAGATGACATCTTCCACAATGACAATTTAATACACCTACCAATGACGGAATATATAATTCGACATGATCGCAAGTATTCACTGTATCAGCAGCTGTGAGACGAGAAGTTACAAACACTGTGTACATTATCGCTGATTTTACGTAAAATTACCCCTGTTCTTCAATAGGATACGCACATGCAGTTTATTTTCAAAAATGCTGATTGGCCCAGCGTTGCGTACGACACACTATTAAATTTTCGCATATCCACTTCTCACAAAGAATGAGGAGAGAAAATCGATATGATCCTTGAACGAAGTTTGGCGAGTAACATCCAAAATAAGTTCTGATCTAATAACGAGCTCGATGTTATGAGCCTAAGACCGATATGATAATGTGAACATGCACATTGCACTCTATTTCCAGCCGACAATGGCAATATATGATTTTACGGTAAAGTAAACACGCGGGCCTTATTCATAAACAATGCATGAACTGTTCGATTGACTTCGGTAGTATATATAATCTGTTGCAGGGTAAGTACGCAAATATAATACACAAGTGTAGTATGGAACTTATTGAGAACGCACTAAATTGACAGGATTGAACGGGTTCAAAGAATAGCAGCAAAGCTTATGTTGTGAAATTACAGAATAACAAACTACATCAGTGAAATTATAAAAATACTTAACCTGGACATCTCGAGGATCGACGAAAAATGGGAACGTAAAAATTTCTTTATGCACTGCATAGAAAGCTTTACAACTTTGACGCTCACCATTGCGTGAAGTCACGAGCAGTACAGTCAGAAGCAGCTATCCAGATCAAATCGCACCTTAAATAACATGCATGCATTTAAATATTCATTCTTTCCACGAACTATAGAGGATTCGAACTCTTTTCCTTGTGACAAAAGGAAAATAGACTATCTAAGCCAATTTGAAACTAATGTGCTCGCCTGCATAGCGTCCTATAGTGTAGGCTATACTTTATGCTGTACGTATTTTTTCCCCCTTTTTTAGATGCCTGAGTGAGCAGAATTTGTGTGATTTATTGTGAGTTGCGAGCAGTGTGGCTGTGCTTGCTTGATTTGTGCGTGTTGAAATTTCTTTTAAGCATAATTGTGGGTCCTAAGCAGTGAAACTGCGTCTAACCTCTTGTGCATGAGGGCAAATCATTGGCCCAAGATGTATATTTTATTTCTTTATGTAGTGCTGAAAAACCACTTTTTTTTGTTCTTCTGGGGTGACAGTATCAATAAACAAGCAAACAAACAAAAACAAAAATAGCAGGGCTAGCCATTTTCACAGAGCTCTATGCTCTCTATCGTTGGAAGTTTCTTTGCCTCAACTCTTCCTCTTCAGCTTTTGCCTTCATGAAGTGAAAAGACTGGAGGGCTTTGTGGGGTGAGCTTCTCCTGATATCTTTAACCTGCAATGTTTTCTTATTTCGGTCACTGCAATTGAGACATTCCAAACCTCGTTCTAGAAGGGTTACTTCTTACGTTTCAGCCTGAGATGAACGACGTTACTCAGGCTGACACCTTCGCGGTTCGCCGCCGAGCAGGTGTAGTTTCCGACGTGTCTCAGTCGGGCGCCTTGAATGGCCAGGGCCTCTTTGTGCAGCGTGACTCCATCTTGTGGGATCAGAGCTCTACCGTTGAGCTGCCACTGGATGTCTCGCACGGGAGGGTTGGCGTCCGTGGAGCAGCCCAGACCGATGTCCATGCCCTCTTGTAACCTTTCAAGACCAACGTTGGGGTCCATCTGCAGCCGTACCTTAGGCTTGTCTGCAGGAATTACGCTTAGTATTAGACGGGCTGTAATAATTCTGACCAAAACAATTAAATTGGAGGTCAAAACAGCGTGGCATCAGCACAAAACCAAGCTGTCCGCAACATCATCTGTTTTCTTTCTCTCGTTATCTTTTAGCACAGGCAATTCAAACTTCATTGAAAAATATGTAGTTTTTAACTCGGTACCATTAGATTATTCTCTTATAAAAGATAGGCCTAACAGGGTCCTTTAAAGTTTTATGATAAACAAAACCTTAAAGAAAAGGCAAGAAAATAATGAACGACCCGAGGTTAGGTTAGGTTAGGTTATTTCCGGCTACATTACGCTTAGATAGTGTATCCTAACCCCCATATATTACCGTATGCTTTACAAGAGCCTCTGGTGACCTGTGGATGACGCTCAGAAGTTAGGAAGATTTCTCTCATTGTGTATGTGGCCTGTTTCTCTGCGTCGTGGTCATGACTCATAACTCGGATCACATGGCGAGGCTTACAGTGAACGCTGAGGTCCCATTGGTCTTCCCTAACGGCACCCGGCATGCGCTTGTTCTCCGCCCTGCAAACGAGCGTCTGTCCGTTGTCGCTGTGCTCGGGCGTGAACTCGACCACGCTCGTGGTCAGGTTTCCGTCCTGGGAGACGTGGACGAAGGCCTGCTTAAGCTGCACGCTGTTCTTCCACCAGGTGATTTCCGGAGACGGCCGGGAGCCCCACACCTCGCAGAGGATTTCAGCGGGAAGACCCGCAGAGATAGGTGCCTCCGTCCTCCGGATCTGGACCGACGTCGGAGACACTGCAACGCATCGGCGACGAGTGAGGTGAGCAAGCAAAGCAGCAAGAGGAGTTTTTTTTTTTTTTTTTTTTTATACAAATACCACTTATTGGCGACCTGCACCGCCAAAAGCGTCGCTGTCATCGGCACTTGAGATGGGCCGCTAAACCATGAAAAGCCCGTCAAATTGACGACGGAACAATAGAACGCCCGGTCGCCGGAAAAGAGAGAGAAGCGGCAGAACAGCGAAAGCAATGGTGTCGCAGATCAGCACCAGGGGACCTAGCGGCCTCTCCCCAAAACAGATTTATATTCCTTTTTGTCTCTTTCGCTTTTTTCTCCTCTCCCAAACACGGTGGCGGCGATCGCGTTGGCGGCGGTATCACGGAAGCAGTAGACGAAACGGAAATGGTGCGGCAACCGTTGCACGGAACAAGAAAAGAAGGATGTAGGCCGATGTCATAATTCTCACAAAAAAAGAAAAAGAAAAAAAAAAACAGCGGTTTGGGATTTGACCGTTCGCAATCTGGTGGCGACACCAAAAGGACGCTTTTGGCATCCTATGCGGAGGGCAAGTTCGTCTGCTTCTTGCGCAGGGGGTAGCGGTGACGTCAGAACGCCGAGCCCTGATTGGCTGATCGCGTCGTCTGCTCCTTTGCAACGTCGTCTGCGTCTGTCTTACCTTTCCTGCGACTTTCGAAAGTGCAGAGGCCAGAGGCCAGGTTCACAAAACGATCTTACGCCAAAAATATGCGTAAGACAAAACTTCAGAACAAATTCGTATTCACGTAACAAAGTTTTCGTAAGTTTTGCGCAGGTTACGAAGGAATCCTACGACAGCTCCGAAGCTGTCTGATGCACTTCTTACGATTAGATCAGCATGGCCGACAGCGTCGCGGTCGCGACAACCCACGGACGTTTATTTTTCTACGTGCGCTTCTGACGCGTCCCGACTTCAAGCAGCAAGAAAAAAGTAAAAAGTACTTGAAACAGACCACGACGAACAAGAACGCTGCATCCACAAACATCCGGGAAAAGCTCCAACGGCCACGATTCCACCGAACGCGACCAAACGAGCTGAGCAGTTAGGCCTAGCAGGCACTCCGCGACTCGGCGACCGTCTGCCCACGACCGGCTTGCGTGCTGAATGGAAAATGCCCGCGCGACCCTTGTGAACCCTTCCCGTATTATAATTTGATCACTGACCTCAATTTTAGATTAAGAGGTCAATTTCTTCCTCTTGTTCTCTCCTTGTTTCCCGAGGCAACGGTGACTTTCGCCGGTGAAAAAGCGGTGAATCTCCGACAGACGCAGGAAAGGTAAAGCAGCCATCGCTTTGACTAGCAGACGTAAAGCAGACGACGTTAACTGCGCCAACACGCCGACGCCGTTAAAGAGTGAGGGGTCTCGCCGCACACGAATGGAGGGAAAAAGTATTTGGGAGGGAACTTGCGGACACTAACACGCTCACTCTCGGTTCTAAGCAAACAAACCTCGGCGCCCCGGGACACCTCGCCAGTGAGTCCTTTGACTTCCCTCCTTGATGCGCGACTGCTAGTTGTTAGACAAAAACAACGTACCGCTCGAGTTATTTCGTCTGCCCTCCCTTAAAGGCGAAGTCGAGTTCGCTCCGAAAGTCGCAGGAAAGGTAAGAGAGACGCAGACGATGTTGCGAGCAGACGACGTTGCAAAGGAGCAGACGACGCTGAGATAGGGGGTCGCGATCAGCCAATCAGGGCTCGGCGTTCTGATGTCACCACTATTTCCTTTCTCATGCGCAGAAGACGAAAATGAGCCCACTTGCGAGGCGTATTGTCTTTCTCCGCCCCTCCTCTCGCTTTTTTCGTGACGGCGTTTTTTAGGTTCTGACAGGCTTTCTAGCAAAAAGAAGGCTATGGTTAAACGCTCAATATAAGGTCTTTATCTCAGTTAATGTTCCTTTCATCGACAGTCAATGTCGGACTGTCAACTATAGCAATGTTGGTTTAAGAATACAATGAATTCAAGCTTCCATCGTGCTTTCTACACGCACCATCTAGCTTTTAATTCGGAACCGCTGATCAGAAGCCAGGATTACAACTCGTGACGTCACGGCGAGGCAAATCCTGGTCGTGACGTCGCCAACTGAAGTCATATAGAGGGCAGCACCGATACATATTGGCGCTTATAGTCACTGACAGGAGGAGAGTGGCAAGACATCTTTTTAGATGCCCGGCCTCCAGCACGTGCTCATGACCTTTTTTCCTGCTTTGGCTGCACGTGCATGCTCGTACCTCACCAGACACCGAGGTGTTATCAAAAGTAAAAAGCTCGCGCTTGAGGCGGGACAACTGAAGGACATCTTCGTCGTTCTAACCCTGTCGGTGACTATTAAAAACGAGGCACGCGCCGTTTTTGTTTTTTTTTTTTTTTTTTTTCTAATGTCAACCCTATAGTCGTCGGCAGGATCAGAATGACAAGGCACGCGCGGCCAAAGCACGGCGGAAGGCAACATGCGCATGCTGGAGGCTGGGTGTTGGAAAGAGACGACTTGACGTTTTCACGTTGTCAGGGGCCACACGTAGTATTGGTTCTACTCTACCCGGAGACATAAGTGCATCTCGCTCAATGGGTCTTTGAGGAGCTAGGTGTTATGATTCCTCATGAGTGTATCTAGCTTTTCGAGGGTGTTTAAAGAAAAGGCTCACGATTTAGGTCCAGAGTGACCGCCGTCTCTCCCTGTACGGACACGTTGTTGGAAGAGACGCAGGTGTAAACGGCCATCAGATCCTGGCGCCTTAGGTTGTGCAGTGTCAGCGTAGACTTCTTCACGTCTCCCGCAATCGACGTCATGGCGTTCACGTACAGTGGTTCCGCGTCTCGTTTCCAAGTCAGCGCCGGCGCTGGCCTGCCTGCGTGATGGAAAAGGAAACCTTCCTCTCTCCTGTACACTTGCAAAGACCTCTCAAGGGGGTCTAACGACAGCAGCCGACATGAGGGAGGGGTTGCTAGTTGAAGCCACCATATGGCGGCCGCGTCACGAGTTTCCAAGATGACAGCGCCAATGCGACGGCGGGTGGAAAGTTCTATTGAATTTGCTAAAGCATAAAGCCGGTAAATAACATTCTCAAAAACGCAAAGATTTTTTTTCTTTGTTTTTGCAGTGTGACATGTCTGTCTGTGTAAGTCCAATTTTTTTGTTGTTTTTTTGTGTGTAGTGACACACATCAAATTCCTCGAGACGTACTAGGTGTTTTGCTTTCTGAACAACCAATCGCAAACACAATAAATCTTTTTTTTTTCCGTTTTATATTTTATATAATTTATTTCTTCGCCATATTGGCTCAGAATGTTGTTTAGCTATACGCGTTTTTAATCAAACTTGGTCGAGTAACCCGAGGTCTTTTTCCCCCGAGGCGATGAAATATCTCGCGTTTCACCGATTTCCACTCTAGTGAAATGTATTTCAGTGTTAAAAAGTCCTGCCTTTCGCAAGCAATAAAACGCGCCCTTGTGTAATAACGTAATCAAATTCTAATCAATTTCTTTCTTCTACGTTATCACTCCTGTGCTCTTCGACGTTCCGAGCATCGTCAAGCAACAAGAGACGCGACTAAAAATTGTCTGGCGCACCGTCGACGGAATTTTGTATAAAAACAAGCGCCTTTAAGATTACCTTCCCGGGGTCTTGAATAATACTTTTTTTTATGATGCAAACGTTGCGGTTTTTGGTTTCTCGCGGTTCCGAATTTGTCCCCAAAGTTTGAGAGGTTGTTAAAATAAAAGTACTATAAAAAATTAGATTTAAGGACCTAACTTTCATGTACCCTACTCTTACAAACCTCTAGCGAAGGGAAGTGTACAGCTTGTTTCAGTTGAAATATGAGATGGAAGAAAGGAACATTCATCCGACTTTACATAGCTGAGGAAATTACGCGAATAAACAACAGCAAAAAAAATCGCCTTTGTTTTTAGCGAAGCTGTATATGATTTGCAGCTGGCATTGTTTCATGTCCGTCGACAGAAAACCCACGCGCGCGCCTTATCAACGTTCGCGCACGCCTTATCATTTATCATGTGGTTTTGACACTTGTTTCAATAAAAAAAAAACACGAAACATGTGTCGAAACCACGTGATAGATGATAAGGCGCGAGCAAGCTATGATAAGCACGTTGCGCTCTTCGCATGCGTTTCTCGGTAAAGATTGCGGTTGCATAAGCTGCCGCGGCAACGCCAGTGGACGAAGTCTTTCATACATAGAAAAGTTTTTGTACAGTGTATTTACTTTTCTTTCGTCAGTCATTTGGAATAGACCTTTTTGCTGTTCACAGACATGAACTGCCGCTTGCGTCCCAAGCGACTTCCGGTCGCACCGTCCTTGCATGCCTGTTGAGCTTGCTTATGTCACCAGTGCTAGAAAGCATAAATGCTACACGGACAACAACGTTGGGCATTTAACAAGGACCATCGGCAGTACAATGTTACACCTTGAAGGAGGCAACTTGGTTTACAAAAATAGTACTCGATATATTTTAACAGATCTCGCGCTTCTTTGTTCTTTTGACGTTCCTCTAAATAATTTGTGGGTAGAAGTTTCATCTACATTTGAAGCAACGGTGTTAAGGTGGCTTTTCTTCGTTCTTTTTATAAACCGTAAGTTCTCTGGCACGTCAGAGACTGGAGCACCACCTGGTGGCTTTTGCCATAAGAAGAGTCCATAGTGCAGTGAGCAATCGTTGCAGGTGATACCACAGCTTCGCTGTTCAACCACCTTCGCAAAGTAGAATTGGTACTCTAATTATTTTTTCGTGTAACATATTCGGTCCGGTCTACTTTCTCGAACTTAGCTCACTTGCTTGCGTTATCGTTGAACACATACTGAAAGATAGTTTCGAACTAATTTCGCAGGAGAGTAGTTACAAGTAACAAATTACTAGTAATTCATTACTTTTCCTACTAATTTTGTAATGACCACGTCACATTTTCGACAGTAACTGGCAATTTAATTTATTCGTAATTAATTAATTTGTAAATTTTTCTTACGTTTATGAAATAGAAACATTATTCGAGTAAATGATGAGTCAATTCACACCCTAAAAGGTGTCTAGTAAAACAAATATATGAATATATTAGCGAAATACCTATGCGCTAATGTAAAGTGATAACATGCAAGGAATCGAATACACTGTTCTTACAGCATCGGTGTGTGATATTGATTTCCTTATTACAATACCCGTCATATTGGAGCGTATTTAAACAAATAAAATATGTATTTAGCCTTTATTGTGCGTGAGCCATTCAATTAAAAAATATGATTGCAACAGTCTACTCATTAGGCGCACGTGTGAAGTGACCGATAAGAAAGGAGACAAACTAAATCCTGCAATGTACAAGTACAGTAAGCACTAAAAATTAAAAAAAAAGACTAGCACAAATCAGCGATTGCCGGGCCAACAAAAGGATGCCACGTGGCGCTGCAGTCACGTGGCGCCGTTTCGCTGTGCCGTGTTTGTTACTGGCGGGTGGTCTACAGACAAAGAACTTTCCCAAAGCACGTTTTCACAACGCCTCTACTCTGCCTCAGGTTTTCGTCAGCCCTACATATCTACGCACATCCTGCTTACCCATCGAGAGCAGCGATATCATTCACCTGCTTGCCGTCATTGGATGTTTTTATTTTTATTTTAAAACGCTGAAGTGGCAGCGACCAACAAAATACTTACGTTGTACTAAAAAGAGAAAAAGAAATTCATGAAAAGTTTGTTTGCCGAAGCATCCCCGGCGTATTCATTAGAGTTCCTATGTAGGCTCCCTGCGGGAGCCAGAGTTGCGCGTCTGTTTTCCACGTGCCGCCGCGCCGCTATTCGCCGAGATCCGATCACGTGAGGAGCAGGATCAAGTGTCGTGCAGGAAAGTAGACGTTGCACGAGCCCCGGCGTACATTACCCTGCTTTCGAGCGCGGCGCCGCTATTCGCCGAATTCAGTCACGTGAGGAGAAGGAACTACATGCCGTGCAGGAAAGGCGGCCCTACGAGGATACAGGACCTCTAGACTTCACGACAATGAAGCGCCCCCTGTGACGTTTTCGTCGTTTCCGCTTTCAATGACTTGGGCTGATATTTTTTTTAATTATTATTGCCGACTTTACCTACTATTGCGCACACGGCAGCATGCTCATGCCCTCTACCGCAATGGCGCTCTAACATTTGTGTGATATAAGCTCAATGCTTAAACCTTTACCACATATGAAAACCTCCGACTATGGGGCGTTCCTCATGGAACCGCTGCGTCTTGAAAATTTGAAAATAAAAATCCTTCTGCATTGTCACGTTCGAGACATAGAGATACTATAATCTAGAGGGAAAGGCACCATGCCTTTCAGCCGCCTCGAAAGGGCGGCGCATAGACCCGGACATCGCGGGTCCCATTAAACCCAAATTGCTGGCGACGCTTTAGTATACACAGAAAAGCAGAAAAACACCACTTCGAGGGTCTGTATCTATTTTCTTTTTCTGGCTCTGATTTGCACAAAATTACCGGAGTCGAGCATTGTATAACATAAAATACTATTAACAAGCACTCCACCAACTTCAACTCGTCGTCGCGAAACAAACACACCTCATATTTCGTTTTTCTTTTTGCATTGTTTTTACTTTTTTTTTGTTCTTTTTTTGGAATGTCAGTGCCTACGATTTGTCGCGTTCTCCTGGCATCTTCACCTCCCTGCTTCGTGTCCACCTTCACCTCGCCTTGCACTGACATGGTTCTATTTCAAGAAGAGCCTTTTACAATTCCGGCCAGGTCACGGGGCTTTACGATCATGATGTTTACGGCCTAGGCAACAGGGTCAGTCAATAAATATTGTTTTCCATCGCGACGCCCGAGAACAACTCAATAGGATGTTCACACTGTTTGCGGACCGTTGGGATTCTATCTTCTCAGATGCCGTGCTTTACTCGTGCTGGCACTCTACCTTGGCCTGAGGCTCAATGCGGGTATCGGGCGCTTTCCCCAAAGCGCTCCGTCAACATCACCCTGGCCAGACCCCGATTTCGTTCTGCGCGCTCCCTCGTTCTTTTCATTTCTAAGACGGTTTCACGCTCGGCGCTTCTACTCCGGCAACAATGGCAGCCTGGTCTGACTCTTATGATACTAGACACTCTTCGTAGATTGATTTCGACGTCTCGAGGATATAACACGACCAAGCAAAGCACGGTCTTGTCTTGTCATGTTCTCGAGGGTATAACAGATATGCTGCGAATAACCGACGAAGTTCCTAGAGGCGTTCGCTCTTGCCGTGGCGTCAAAAACCTGGCTAGATATTGTTCGCCCGCCGAACACCGCTACGGAAAGTGGCCGAGACGCGGCGAAAGGCGCAAACCAATCAGGACGTAGTACGTGGTTTGGCTTCCGTCTGACCCCGAAGTTCGAATGTTCGAGCGCACTTTGTGATTTTGTCAGTGTAGGCTACGAACTCAGTCACGGCGGATTTCGTCGAATTCGCTTTTCGCTTATTACGCATATGACGTGTTTGAACAAAGCTTTATGAGTGGTTGGTTTCAGCGGATATTTACTTTCTCCCTCGGCAACACTGACGGTCGCGCTGTTCGCGTCGGCGGCGTTCGCAGCTTGTTCGTCTCATGGAGTTCAGTGGTCAACGAGTATTCGGCGGCGCGTCATTGTAGATTTTTGTCGCGAGAATTTCGCCGTGAAGGTTCGTTCTATGGAGTCCATCTTTTATGCGATTTGTGCGGATGAGTTATATGGCCAGGGGGCATGATATAGAAGGTTATTCGTCAGGTTACGCCAGATAATTAACAAAAAGCGTGTCTAACTTTTTTTTTCAATAATAAATATCAATATATAGTGTTATGTTAGAAATTTTCTTAGTCACCGAAAGCCACCGAATC